CGAAGTTTGCACCATCACACGCCGAACATGCCTGAAGCCGACGGACCATTTATTGCCAGAGATGTTCAAACACACCGGGAATTTCTTTGATTGTAGCAGCTGCTCGGGTGAGTCTTGCCACGAGATCCATTTCAGACACAATAGGATCGTGACACACGACAATTTTGATGGCTTCCCACAAAAAGAAATCAAGGCTGGATAAATCCGGTGAACGTGAGGGCCAGAAAACTGGTTCACCACGCATCGGCGTGGTGCCAATCCATCGACGATGCGGGAATGATCTGTTCAAATGGCTACGAACATCTAGTTGAAAATGAGCAAGGGCTCCATTATGTTGGAATCATGTTGGATTCATCATGTTGGAATCATCATGTTGGGCTCCACATGTTGCGCCTCCCATTTGGTGGAACATCGTCAAGCAAATCAGGAAGAACCTGCTCCAGAAAGATAAAATAATTCTCGGTATTCAAATGAAATCCGAATGAATGATCCGTCGGTGTCAGGCATGTTTGGTGTCTGATGGTGCAAACTTCGAGCATTTCTTATAACTTAAGAAATACAATAACACTCTTAAGATACAATAACACGCCGAACAAATATTAATATTAATCTCTTATAACATTCAAGCTGTCTTATACCATTTGTATTCATGTCAAATAAATGTTTCAAATTAATCACTCTTGCTTTTTTCTCATATTCTACCTGTGCTGCAATTCTTAATTCTTACGATGTGCCCTGCCTCCCCTAGAAGTTTGTCGCAACATTTACGGTACACCTTGTATATAAGAAAGCGTATATGTAGCGCATATACAGAAAATTTATATGACTCAATGATTTAATTGTTACATATGGCGAGGCGTCATTGCCTATATGACTAAAGATGGCTGATAAAAAAATAATTCAAAATATATTAATTAATTAAAAAAGCTTTTTATGTTTTTAATGCAATGACAGCGGCGTAGAATTATTTTAACATTTTATTTGACATTTCATTCAAAATTCAAAAAGTGAGGCTGTTTATGTTTGTCTAGACAGGGTTTCTTAAAGGTTTTGGTGTGGGAACCCCTTAATATTAACGAAATTTTGTGCGACCCCATATTCATCGCGCAAATCCCACACACTCTTGAGTGAAACTATCAGGTTCTTCACTTGTACTGTAATATACTATAGGAGTTTTATATCATTAATTTTAATTTTTAATTTTAAGATCCTGAAGAATGTGAAAATTTTAAGTAAGTAAAAAACTTCAAAATATAATACAATAATAAAATTAAGTTCAGTTACTTGAGTAAACTCAAAGAGTAACTCTAGTCTATCCATTAAGTGCAGTCACTCGGAAGATCACTGCTTGGAAAACCCACCTATTGTTATCAGCGCAAATGCGAGGATAAGTATCAATGGGAAGGATGTGTCTGTGAAGTATCAATAAGTAAGTCTGTAAGTATCAATGGGAAGGATGTGTCTGTGAAGTATCAATAAGTAAGTCTGTAAGTATCAATGAGAAGGATGTGTCTGTGAAGTATCAATAAGTAAGTCTGTAAGTATCAATGGGAAGGATGTGTCTGTGAAGTATCAATAAGTAAGTCTGTAAGTATCAATGGGAAGGATGTGTCTGTGAAGTATCAATAAGTAAGTCTGTAAGTATCAATGGGAAGATGTGTCTGTGAAGTATAATAAGTAAGTCTGTAAGTATCAATGAGAAGGATGTGTCTGTGAAGTATCAATAAGTAAGTCTGTAAGTATCAATGGGAAGGATGTGTCTGTGAAGTATCAATAAGTAAGTCTGTAAGTATCAATGGGAAGGATGTGTCTGTGAAGTATCAATAAGTAAGTCTGTAAGTATCAATGGGAAGGATGTGTCTGTGAAGTATCAATAAGTAAGTCTGTAAGTATCAATGAGAAGGATGTGTCTGTGAAGTATCAATAAGTAAGTCTGTAAGTATCAATGGGAAGGATTGTTCTGTGAAGTATCATAAGTAAGTCTGTAGTATCAATGGGAAGGATTGTCTGAAGTATCAATAAGTAAGTCTGTAAGTATCAATGGAAGGATGTCTGTGAAGTATCAATAAGTAAGTCTGTAAGTATCAATGGGAAGGATGTGGTTGTGAAGTATCAATAAGAAGTCTGTAAGTATCAATGGGAAGGATGTGTCTGTGAAGTATCAATAAGTAAGTCTGTAAGTATCAATGGGAAGGATGTGTTGTGAAGTATCAATAAGTAAGTCTGTAAGTCAATGGGAGGATGTGTCTGTTAAGTATCAATAAGTAAGTAAGTCTGTAAGTATCAATGGGAAGGATGTGTCTGTGGTGAAGTATCATAAGAAGTCTGTAAGTATCAATGGGAAGGAGTGTGTCTGGAAGTATCAATAAGTAAGTCTGTAAGTATCAATGGGAAGGATGTGTCTGTGAAGTATCAATAAGTAAGTCTGTAAGTATCAATGGGAAGGATGTGTCTGTGAAGTATCAATAAGTAAGTCTGTAAGTATCAATGGGAAGGATGTGTCTGTGAAGTATCAATAAGTAAGTCTGTAAGTATCAATGGGAAGGATGTGTCTGTGAAGTATCAATAAGTAAGTCTGTAAGTATCAATGGGAAGGATGTGTCTGTGAAGTATCAATAAGTAAGTCTGTGTATCATGGGAAGGATGTGTCTGGAAGTATCAATAAGTAGTCTGTAAGTATCAATGGGAAGGATGTGTCTGTGAAGTATCAAGTAATAAGTCTGTAAGTATCAATGGGAAGGATGTGTCTGTGAAGTTCATAAGTAAGTCTGTAAGTATCAATGGGAAGATGTGTCTGTGAAGTATCAATAAGTAAGTCTGTAGTATCAATGGGAAGGATGTCTGTGAGTATCAATAAGTAAGTCTGTAAGTATCATGGGAAGGATTGTCTGTGAAGTATCAATAGTAAGTCGTATCATGGGAAGGATGTGTCTGTGAAGTATCAAGAATAATCTGTAAGTTCAATGGGAATGGTAGTCTGTGTATCAATGGAAGGATGTCTGTGAGATAAGTTGAAGTATCAATAAGGTGTGTCTGGAAGTATCAATAATAAGTAGTATCACTGTCTGTGAAGTATGTGTCTGTATCAATGGGAAATTTGTGTCAGTATCAGTATCAAAGTCTGTAAGTATCAATGGGAAGGATGGTCTGTGAAGTAATCAATAAGTAAGTCTGTAGTATCAAGAAGGATGTGTCTGTGAAGTAATCAATAAGTAGTGTCTGTGAAGTATGTAAGTCTAGTATCAATGGGAAGGATGTGTCTGAAGTATCAAAAGTAAGTCTGTATCAAATGTTCTGTAAGTATCAATAGTAATCTGTAATCATGGAAGAATGTGTCTGATGTGTCTGTATCAATGGGAAAGTGTCTGTGAAGTATCAATAATAAGTCTGTAAGTATCAATGGGAAGGAGTCGTATCAGTCTCAATGGGAAATGTTCTGTGAAGTATCAATGTAGTCTGTAGTATCAATGGGAAGGATGGTTCTGTGTATCAATAAGAAGTCGTAAGTATCAATGAGAAATGTGTCTGTGAAGTATCAAAAGTCTTAAGTATCATGGAAAGTCATAAAAGTTAAATAGCTGTTTCAATGTTTCCAATGGGAAATGTGTGTAAGTATCAACTGTAAGCGAAGCTGTTCAATTAGAATAAGTATCAATGGGAAAATTAGTCTTGTAAGTATCAATGTTCTGTGAAGTATCAATAAGTAAGTCTGTAAGTATCAAACGGGGGTTGTGAAGTATCAAGTTGTAGTATCATGGGAAAGTCTGTGGTATCAAGTAAAGGAAGTCTAGTATCAATGGATGTGTTGTGAAGTATCAATAGTTCTGTAAGTTCAAATGTGTCTGTGAAGTATCAATAAAGTCTGTAAGTATCAATGGAAGATGTCTGTGAGTATCTAAGTAAGTCTGTAAGTATCAATGGGAAGGATGGTCTGTGAAGTCAATAAGTAAGTCGGTAATATCAATGGAAGGATGTTGTGAAGTATCTGTCTGACGTAAGGAATGTGTCAAGTTGTATCGAGTCTGGTCTGTGTATCAATAAGTGTCTGTAAGTATCAATGGGAAGGATGTAAGTCCTGTAAGTATAATGTGTCAATAAGTAAGTCTGTGCATGGGAAAGTATCAAGAAGTCTAAGTAAGTATCTAAGTAAGTAAGTATCAATGGGAAGGATGTGTCTGTGAAGTATCAATAAGTAAGTCTGTAAGTATCAATGGGAAGGATGTGTCTGAAGTACAATAAGTAAGTCTGTAAGTATCAAGGGGAGGATGAAGTATCAGTTCTGTAAGTATCAATGGGAAGGATGGGTTGTGAAGTATCAATAAGTAAGTCTGTAAGTATCAATGGAAGGATGTGTCGTGAAGTATCTAAGTAAGTCTGTAAGTATCAATGGGAAGGAGTGTCTGTGAAGTATCAGTATAATAAGTAAGTCTGTAAGTATCAATGGAAATGTGTCTGTGAAGTATCAAAGTAAGTCGTTCAATGGGAAAGTGTCTGTGAATATCAAAAGTAAGTCTGTGATCAAAGGATGTCGTGAGTATCAATAAGTAAGTCTGTAAGTATCAATGGAAGGATGTGTCTGTGAGTATAATAGTAGTAAGTATCAATGGGAAGGATGTGTCTGTGAAGTATCAATAAGTAAGGTAAGAGGATGTGTCTGTGAAGTATAAGTCTGTAAGTGTCTGTAAGTATCAATGGGAAGGATGTGTTGTGAAGTATCAATAAGTAAGTCTGTAAGTATCAATGGGAAGGATGTGTCTGTGAAGTATCAATAAGTAAGTCTGTAAGTATCAATGTGGAAGTTCTAAGGAGAAGTGTCTGTGAAGTATCAATAAGTAAGTCTGTAGTATCAATGGAAAATGTGTCTGTGAAGGTAAGTGTAAGTATCTTAAGTATCTGTGAAGTATGTGTCAGTAAGTCTGTAAGTATCTCATAAGTATCAGTCTGTAAGTATCAATGGGAAGGATGTGTCTGTGAAGTATCAATAAGTAAGTCTGTAAGTATCAATGGGAAGGATGTCTGTGATTTTTAATTATGTTATCAAAACTTGGCAAAATTTTCGACACCGCAGGGCGAAGCACTTCTTCACTATTCTTTACATTTGATTGATACTTTGATTTTATGGTGGTTAAAGACGAAAATGTCGCCTCACTCAAATACGTCGTTGAAAAAGGTAAAAGAAAATTTATGGCAGTTTCAGAAATCGTTGGAAATTCTTTTGCGACTCCTAGCCAAAAATCTTCTAAGGACTTCGTATTAAAATCAATTTTTAGACCCGAATAATTTGATAATTGAACAAGTTCTTCTTGTGATTTTAATGGCAAATGAGTAATATTTTCCGCATGAATTCCGAATGGTTTCACAGCCCATATTAGTTCTTCGGCACCAAAATTCGAAAGGAAAGATTTTACAAAATTTTTCTCAAGACACCGAAGATGCTTAAATATCACTTTTAACAACTCATCTTTTTGAAGATCTGTTTCATCCTTTTCACTTAAAAATTCACTTGTGACAAACATTTCTAACGAACCCTTTTTTTCCACCATGTCATGGTTCTCCACATGATAACTTTCTTACTAAAAGCATCGAGTTTTGATTTGAATATAAAAACGTTGCAAGATTCCTTGAATTGGCAAATTTAGCTCAGTTAGGTTTTCAAATATATCATTCAAATAAAATATGTATATTATTTAGCCACAGCTTATTACGGAATAACTTCACAAAATCAGATTTTTGTTCATGTATTATTTTATTTTTTAAAATCAGATTTTTTTTTCTGTCCGAAAGAGAAGAACATTACCTTTTAACTTTAATAATTTTTTTAAACTGTGGCTTCTTGAAAGCCGCCTTAACTCTGCATGTAATAATTCATGCGTATTCGGGACTAAGTTGTTGTTGCCTTGTCCATATTACGCGGAAGAATAGTTCGCAAAATCTACTCCAAAGAAAGGCTGGACTTCTATTTTCCATCCCCAATTTTGAGGGAAAGCACCCCGAGGGGCATCCAAGGTTCTCCCACCAATCCACACGAGAGGACTTTTGGCTCGCCGCATATTCAGAGTGCCGCCATGGCGCACCGACACTATATATTTACAAACATCCATGTGTTACCCGGGATTTGAACCCGGGCCTTTTGGTACCGTAATAGGCTCCTCTAACTACTATACCGTTTGGGAGACGCGGTTAGATTAGGTTAGGTTAGGATTTTTTATTTAATTACGGCAAAGCCCCGAGGGCTATCTGCCTAAGAGGAGGGATACCTTTGTGGAGGACTTTCTAAGGGGAACTGGCTCGTATACAGTTACCCTTAGAAATGCATTCATGCAGCCAGCTCGTTCGCGGGATTCGAACCTTGGACCGAAGTACCAGTCTTCAGCGACTGAACAGGCTCGGCCGCTCTGGGCGACTAGGAACCAAGTCTTTATAAAAATTTGAAAAAACAACACGCATTTTAATACATAAGTTAACCACTTTAACACTATCTCGAAGCACAACATCTAACTAACGATATAATTCCGCTAATATTTGTTTGGCCACCTGGGTTTCCCGATTTATTATGCAATGAGTGAATGTTATATGTTCTTAATCATGTTTTATTGTTTTGGCTAGAAATCCATTTTTTTCACCGACCATCTCTTTAGTACCGTCTGTGCAAATGTCAACACAATTTTTCCATTGCAAACTCTCTCCAAAAAAAAATTCGTTAACTTCTAGAAAAATGTTCTCATAAATGTGCGTCAAATCCGAAACTCTCTCCAAGAAAAATTCGTTAACTTCTAGAAAATGTCCTGTCATCATGTACGTCCATCCGAAGAGCGGCAAGACAAAAAATTCGTCATGAATGCCCCCTTCAAAAATATATCTAACATACACTAATAATTGAGGTAAGCTGGTAATATCAGTTGATTCATCCAAATGAATTTCAAACTTAAGCCTCATTTTGAGACTAATTATTATTTACTAATGCTGATCCTTATTTAATTTCCGAAATTTGCTTTGAAATTGCATCGTTGGTTATAGGAACTTTACGGATTTCTGCCATGAACTATTTCGGACTTCTTTATAGAACTCGGCAATATCAGATTTTCCCAAACTGAATAGGCCCTTTTTTTCCCAATAAAATTGAAAATCTCCTAAGATTTCAATTTTCTAGTAAAACAGTTTATTACCATAGCAATAACTAGTAATTGACTGTTTAGTTAATACTAGTAATTAGTTAATACTAGTAGTTAGTAAATACTAGTAATTGACTGTTTACTTCTGCTTGTTTTACAAGTGTCTTACGTGTTTTTCTTTTCCGTGGGGAAAAAAAAAAATCATTAAAACAAGTTAAATTCTAATTGGGGTCAGAAATCTTTTATAAAATATTTCCAAAGTAAAAAAAAAAAAAAAACTGTTCGTGACATAGGAATTAGGGTAACTACGTCCACGTTATTGTGCGTATACCATAAATAAATTTAAAAAGACTCCAAATGTAAAAAATAAGCATCATTCTGGGAGATCATGGATGTTAAGCGAGACCAACAGATCATTTTGAAGACAAATCAATTAAATCGTTTTGCAAGTTTATCTTCGACTGCATCAGTACTTTGGAAACCTATATAAAAATAAATTATTTCTAGAACATTAAAAAGATCTATAAAATCATTTCATAAGTAAAGTTATATAACTTTTCATAAGTAGTTAGTTAACTACTTATGAATTATTTAAAGTTATTTAACTATTCATAAGTAAAGTTGACAAGGAAGACATAGAAAAACGAAATATAACAGTGGGAGTGTGCATAGCTGCGAGCGATATGAAAGTCTTGTTATTTTTGAACAAATATGTTATTTGAACATTTAAAGACCAATTTGAAACAAAACGTGGGTCTTTCTTGAAATGTTTACTTTTAAGAAAATAATGATCTCAAACACAAACTTGAACTCTGAATGTGTGGCTGCTATACAATACACCGGACATGCTAAAAACATCACCGGCAGCTATCATCTGTTGAATATATTTGGGAAAATGAAAAGGAAACTTCTAAATTGTCCAATATCAAAGAGCACCATTCAGTTAAAAAGCATGATTTAATAAAAATTATTACCTTAATCACCATTTAGTAAAAACTTTTACTTATTTAATAAAATATGTGTAAAAATTTTCGAAGATGTATATTTGAATTTGATAAATTTAAATCCTGAACGTCTTTAAGCCATTACTAATGCAACAGAATACTGCATTAATCATTTAAAGGTTTTTCTTTCTTTTAATTTTAAGATAATGTTATATGTACGAATAAAGTATTTTATTTATTTGTTTTTCTAATATTTCTCGAATAAATACTTTTCATACAACGTTCTGAAAGCCAAAATGTGCCGATTTGATGATTTCAAAAGTCGTTCCAAAATATTATTTAGGTTTCTTGCAATCCGCGGTATTCTTTGTATTGAGATATCGCTTTCATTTGATGAATTTCCGGCTTCTGTAGCCAAAACATCCTTACAAATTAAGCATAAGGACTTTTCAATTCCATCATAATTACAATGAGTAAAACCAAATTCCAAATATGATTTGTCATATTTCCCGTTTTTTCGGCTATTTGAACTGCGCTCGTGCTATGTTCGGAAAATGGCGTTTTACTGTTTTCAGAAGTTTTGTCTCGTTCACTTAAATTCAACCACTTATTCATGATTCCTAAAATATTTGATAATAATTCTTGTTGAGAAAACAAAGGTTTTGTTTGAAATATATAATAAATAATGAAAATAAGTTACGTATTTGCTAATGAAACGAACGAAACAACGATGGCAAAAGCGATAGAACGCTTGTTTTATCACGATAATAGCATCGTATATATCAGGGTTTCTTAAACGTTTTTCAGTCGCAACCCCTTTTTATCACTGAGATTTTTTCGCGACCCCCAGGACCCCATAATATTTACAAAAAGTTGTGGGATCCCATAAGTATTGCGCAAAACCGACACGAGCGTGAGTGAAACTGTCAATTTTCCACCTGTCCTGCAAAATACTACTGCAGCTTTAGGTCATAAACTTTAATTTCTAATTTTAACACATAGAACGACGGGAAAATTTTAAATAAGTAACAGACCAAATGAAAGCGTCACGTGCAAAGCAAGGAAAATGAATGTTTGCATTATAAAAAGAACGCGTCGAAAAGTTATCGCTTTTTCTTTGTCTGTATCGTCTTATCTTTATCTATTTTCAGATACATTGTGTAAAAATATTTGGTAATTGTAAAATTGTCATATTAAGTTAAAGAAATATCAAAACTGCTAAAACGTTTGGCGATTCCTGCTACAGGTCCCGCGACCCCTTTGGGGATCGCATCCCCACAGTTAAAAAAATCCTGGTATATATTCGGAGTAAAAAGGCTTTTAAATGTCCGAAAAACGATCCGCATAGAACGATTCGAAATGAATTCATTCATTCATTTGCGCTTTTGCAGCTGAGGATGATGGTTCGGTAAAACCATCGAAACTAGTCCTGTGAAATTTGAAAATACAACGCTGATTTTTGTTGTTTGACTTCTAAATTAATATTTGTTCGGTGTGTTATTGTATCTTAATTAATATTATAGCAAGTTAAAGGATCAAAATTGCTAAAATTTTTGGGCGAGTTCTGCTGCAGATCTCGCAACCGCACTCGGAGTCACGACCCACAGTTTAAAAAACTCCGATTTATATGAATTGTATTACATTGTTTTTAAAACATTTTATTATCATAATTATGTTTTACTTTTATTGAAGCTTTGAAAACTCAGGGAAGTTCCGGCATTAAATCAGCGCACACATAGACATGTTGATTAAAAAAAGAGGAAAGAAAAAGAATCTTGTAAAACATTTTTTATACAGTCAGAATCAATTTTCCGTACCAAGTTGAGTCACGTAATTTATGTCGGTCTCGCAAAGTTTAATATTAAAATATTACAAATGAGCTTAGGTCGTGCAGGAAATCTCACAAATACTTCGTTTCTGTTTCTAAACAAAACCGTCTGTTCTCTACTATCGATCGATATCAGTATTTATCTCTGATAACTTTTAAAGAAAATCTTTACTAACTTTTAGATGCAGCTTATACAGCTTAGACCGTTAAATACTTCTGAAATTGAAGTTCTTCAAATTTGAAAAAAAATTTAGATTTTTCTTGAAATGGATCTGACATAGAAAACGTTTCGATTCGATGATGCCATGGATTTTTGAAATTTCATTTGCAGGTTAAGATTACATTTATTAAGAAAACGATAATTTGATTCAGGTCGAATCACAAAAAGAAATAGGACAGATTTTCGTGAAAATAAAATGTAAGAAACGTTTTGCTAATAAATATATACTAATACTTATCACGTTAGACTTACAATATGTCTTAAGGTTTGAAAGTTTAGTAGGAACTCCTAAACTGTTATTTAAATATTTTAGTTGTTTAAACTTTCCTTCGAAGTCTCTTTAAAAAAAAAAGACCATGAATGAAACGTCAATAAATGTATCCTTAGAAAAAGATTATAGAATTTCTACAAAATTATTTTAGTTTTACGTCAGATGTTC